TGTAGTGAGAATATGTCGTCTTGGGTCTGTCTGCCCTGTTTGAAAGCTGCTTGCTCCTCCTCTAGATCTTGCTCTACTATATGGGTTAGTTGCTGTTCAAGAATTCTCGTGTATATCTTGTACACAACTGACGAGAGGCATATTGGCCTATAGTTCCCATATTTGCTTTGGTACTCGTTCACAAGGGTTCCGCATGGATTAAGCGTGGTTCACAGTCACTTCGATCACACTTGTTCATGGAATCCCGAAAACAGCTGAATGTTGTCGTCTTTTCTGATGTCAGCTATGTCAGCCCCACCACACAATCCCTTTTCATGCATTTAAAAAAAAAAAAAGAAAGTATTCCCTTCATAGAACTTCCTTATTAACAATTTATGTATTTACTAATTTGTTAATTATTAATTTTTACTATAACAGTTATTACTGTAAAATAAAAATAAAAAAATATATAAAATAATGTTTGAGTCGTTTCTTCAAGGCCTGTTAAAAAAAAAAATGCTTTTAGAAATAAAATTTTTATTTCTTTTTTATTATACATGCTTACATGTACTGGCTGTTAAGTACACAGATACTGTTGTATATTATTTTTTATAACTATGTATAAAATATTTTTTTATCATTTGGATAATAAATTGTCTATTATCTGGATAATAAATTGTGGATAATCTGAAGTTATCTATTATCTTTTTATTTGTTATTCGAGTTTTTCAATAGAAGTTGGAATAATTAAATTTATAATTTATTTTAGCAAGCCTTTTTTAGAATTGCGCAATCGTCTATCTAGTTTATGTAGCTTTTTGGATTTCTAATAATACAAGGGTCCACTATTTTCTAGTAGGGGGCGGTTTGTATCCATATACTGTCTGATTTGAGATTGAGCATCAAATTTATATAACTTTTTTGAATTCTTAGATATACGGATCCACTATTTTCTAGTCATTGGTGCTTTTTATGAATATATTGTCGGATTTAAAATTGTTCGTCGATTTTTTTTGTAGATTTTTGGATTTGTTATATGTAAGAGTCCACTATTAAGTTGTCAAGGATGCTTTTTATGAAAATAATGTCAGATTAAAGATTGCACAAGAAAAGTGTACAATATTAATAAATAAAATATATCTATCAATTGTTGTATAGATAAATATTTATTCCTAAAATGTCTAATCCCAACGAGACTCATAGATCTGCCAGTTAGTTAACTGTTAACTTAAAATTTATTTTTTTGTTTTTATCGCTATTATTTTTATTGAATGAATTAGCTGTGTAATTATTGTTATTTGCAGTTATTTTTCTTGGTAAACCGAAAATGGGGATTATTGTAGTCATTAGTAAAAAAAAAAAAAAAATCGTGTTTATTTTCAAAAAATGAATTAATGTATTGGGGAATATTTCTTTTTCACAGATCTATAATATATGATAATACAACATAGAAGCACTTAAATGGGGGGAAAGTGAATAGTAACTCAACAGACTGGTCGCCATCGTTCTCTTTCAGATAAACCTGAACGCATTCGGCACTCCATGAACAAGTGTGACCGAAATGATTATGAATCATGCATAATCCGTGCAGAACTCTTGTGAACTAGTACCTTTACTTTGGCTGTCTTACTTGTGTTTAGGGATTATGATATTGTTCTCCCATATTTGTGATATCAGCTTGAGGTACCAAATCTTTAGGAAAAGAATTTGAAGGATCTTGATCATTATGTTGCCTCCATATTTAATTAATTATGGGAATTACCAGAATCGTTAAATATAATTGTGTATGATAATGATAATTTCCATAACAGTTATCACAGAATGAACACAAGATGTTAGGAAAAATCTACCTATTCAAAATAAAAAATTTTAAGTTGCATAATGTAATATTCCTTAGAATAGACCTCATGGTAATTAACATTAAAAGAGCTACGACTTTAAAGAGAAGCCATTTGATAAACTTAGAAATGATCTGGCTCAAACTATCTTCTGACCTTTTCCCATTATCATAAGATGTCTCTGTAATTCATTCTATGGGTGCTATAATAACTTAATTAAGCCATAATATTGGCATAATGGCAAACATAAAATACATTAAACATCAACACCATTAGGCACTAACGAGAAAATCTTTTGAAAGCAACCAAGTAAAAAACCTATTCAGGACCAAACCACAGAAACATGTAGTATCTACTTGTCAATAATCTAAGTAGTAAGAGTTAAATATAATCATAAATACAGATAACAGATTACTAAAACATTCACAACTATGAGGAACAGTAATCTAATAAATAAAAAGGTACCATAAATATTCAGGACCAAACCACAGAAACATGTAATTCTACTTGTTAATAATCTAAGCAGTAAGAGTTAAATATAATCATAAATAGAGATATAACAGATTACTAAAACTTTCATAACTATGAGGAACAGTACTCTAATAAATTAAAAGGTAGTCCCTTACCCATCTTAATCATTGCGACAGCCACAGCAAAAAATGCAATGTTTTTGAGAACTAAATTCCTAGCGGCTCTTTTTTCTTCATCGACACTACCTCTGTCTGGTTGTTGAATACGAAACATTTCTGTTAATTCTTAAAATTATAACAGTAAGAAAATTAATTTCGAGTCAAGTAAATCAGATTCAGAGCCACTTGCCGTATCATTTCCAAAGAGCTCAAATTTGTAGTGAGCATAAAGTCATCGTTACTTGATTAACATGACTTCCTATGACGTCATCCCTAATTTTTGGCTGTTCAAGTTGTCGATTACATGAATTGTAAAGGATTGAGTGAATTGTAAATCATAGCGTATATAATACTCCATTACTGGATAAATTTATAATCATTATAACAACAAAATGTTTTAATTACACTAGTTACATGCATCAAGGCTACTACGCGTTTATAAATCAAGATTTTTATACCCATCTCATGTAATGAGAAAAAATCGGCTTAATGGTGTGATGTGTAAAAACAACACAATTGTAAAAAAATATTTGCAGCAAAAAAGATTTTGTTAAAAAAAAAAAAAAAAAGACGCACAAAGTAACAATATCAAGCTGGACAGTTACAAGGTGGCTCGAAGGTTCCCTTTTTATTTGTTTTACCACAAGGATGTCACCTTCGGCATAGCCACTGTAGTAGAAAAAACACTCGACAGTGGAATGATGACTGTTAATGATTCCAAACCGATGAATGCATTCCTTGTAGTTTTGTTCGACTTCAGGTACGTCTACAATCGTGATGAACACGAACATTATGTAGCCGTATCTTTAGGAAAAATGGAAGTTAAAATTCAGTATATACATTAAGTAATAATGTCTGTTATGCGTCATTTGCCGAGGTAGCAGTTGCATTAATAATGACTGAACAAAAAAAAAATCACAACTGCTTTTGTCTCAGTCTGACACCCCATCCAATTTTAGATTCCATTTCTCAAACAAAGAAGTCCAAAGCTCCAAGGGATAAATTCCTCGAGTTGGAATCATTTACAGTCACCGCACCTCAGATTAATGCCTTTCATACTATCTATGACATCCTTGGTGTATAGCACATCACATAAGTTCCTAAACTCAGCTTGGGTTTATCGATGGTCTCTGATCAGTACCGGCCTTAGACATTTGGAGCCCACCCCCGGACAGTGACGTCATATCCCCCTCCTAAAAATATTTAGTTTATTTCTTAAGCTGTTTTATAAAATTTATATTACGTATCATTTGAATTTTATTCCATTCAAAATTTTTCTAATACAGTTGCTTTAATGGTAGACTAAAATTAATTATTTTAATTCGTTTTTTAACTTTATTTATTTAGATCTTGCAAGATACTAGCGCTCCTGAAGAACGGCCGGCGACCCAGGGCAATTTTCCTGGTTGCTCCATCCTAAAGGCCGGTCCAGACGCTCCGTTTTCCACGTTTTGTCTGTGCAATTTTTAGAGCATCCACACGGCAGACATATCTGTATATTTTGCTCAGTTTTGTGTGAGGAGGAGGTACTACTCTGGTCGATTTTTGCGATGTGTCTTGTTAAAAAAAAGATTGGAACATCTCAGAAGTACTCAGATTTCGTGTGGTCGCGGAAGTGGCTTCTAAAAAGCCAGCACTTTTCCCATATCAAATTATTGCGTGAATTACGTGATGAACCTATTGATTGGCGGAACTACTTGCGAATGGACATTGACACATATACTTATTTATTGTAATTAGTGCCTTGGTGTCCCCTGATCATTCAGGAAAATTAATAAATCAAAATACCAGAGAGATGACTTGTATATTTCATCTTCTCCAGCCCCAGATCGAATCGATTTATTTATTTTACCCAATTTTTTTCGGTACACACTGCTCAATGAATTTATTTTTTTCACAACTGTCTCCCGGTTTGCCGTTGCATCAATTTTTTAAAATGTATTTGCTAAAATTTCATAGGCCTCCCCCTTCTTATTCCTGTCACTATATTCTTTTGATTTAGTGCACGGGAAACTTATTTAATAATAACTAAAGAAACTTAACTCATACAGAGCAATAAAATCGGTTAAAAATTCCCTAGAACGTTGCTGAATGTCTGCCATTGTCACCTGCAGAAACTGAGTAACAAAATGAATCGGAAAACGGTGCTAGGGTCCACATACGCCAACTTGTCTGCGAAGTTCAAGGAAATCTATGCTATCTGGCTGAGTCCAAACGGAGCGTCTGGACCAGCCTTAAGGTCGGCACTGTCTATGATCCATCTCTTAACTATACTAAACAATGCCATCGATCAGCTCCATGCTGAGTTCAGGAATTTTCCATACTAAAACCAAGCGAAAATCCTCGAGTATCCTTTCTTGATATCACCCCTTTTTATAGCTGTCTTTTTTTGCTGAGAATAGATTTTCAACGATGTATTTTGGAGTATACTTTTTTTATTCCTATTAATATTAGGTAATGGGTAAAATAATCAGTTACTTTAACATTATAAAGTTTCCCATCAATTTCAATTGTAAACAAAATACATATATGATATATACCCTTGCTAGAATCTCTTTGGACATAACCCCTATATAACATTCCAACTAGTAGTTCCGTTATGTTGAGGAAGATTCGTAGTTTTTCAACCTGTAACAACGGAATTTGATTTTCAGACTCAATAAATATTTATTTAATTTTTATAAAATGCACAAAAAGACAGGTCGATCTGTCGTGGATAGTGTGACCAAAGAAGATGTTATCCAAGCTGTTTTAATTGCTGATTCCTATAATGATGATCTTTTCCCAGCATATCCAGTCCCAGTAAGAATGGTTTATATCGGTATAAAGGTGGTTCATAAAACTCTTATCTGTTTTGATAATATGTTGTATGTAATTTTTAGTGCCTCCTACCTATTGTAAATCTTCCTCTTTTGGATTACACTTTACAATGTTTGTCTTCAGCCCATGTTCAAGAAGTCATTATTTTCTGTTCTGCCCATGCAGACAGTTTAAAAGAATATTTAAAGTATGTCCACTCATGTGTATACATTGATTTTCTGTTGTATGAAACTTAGTAATAATTCCTATTTACCTTTTTCTTTTTTCTCTACCAGAGGCAAATGTTGGGGACGAATGTCTATAAATGTTGTTGTCTCAGATGGCTGTAGATCATTAGGTGATGCTATGAGAGATCTTGATTCTAAAGCATTGATTAGAGGTGATTTTATTTTGTTAACTGGAAATCTAATAGGAAATTTGAAAGTGTTACCAGCTCTTGAAAAACACAAGTAAATGTTAGCATATATGTATTTGGTTAACGATTTTTCTAAAAACATTTTTAAGAATAATTATAATTTATTATTAATGCTTAGAAAGATTCAGAAAACAGACAAAGGGCTTGCTATGACTCTGTTATACAAAGAATGTGGTAAAAAATCAAGGACAGAAGATGATGAAGTTTTTTTAGCCATTGACAAAAATACAAGTCAGTTATTATTACATCAGAGATGTTCAAGAGAAGCTTCGAAAATCAACTTACCTGTTGTAAGATATATTGATAATGATTCTTGAACACAATTCAATTTCGTACATTTGCAACAATTATGTTATCTGTATTATATTATATGATTCTAGGAGAAGTTATTGGAGCACAAATCAATGGATATAAGGTGTGATCTAATGGATACTAGGGTTGCCATATGTTCCTTATCAGTACCTCCACTCTTCTCTGATAATTTTGATTATCAAACCAGAGATGACTTTGTTCGTGGTCTGTTAATGGATGAAGAGATTTTAGCAAGCTCAGTTTATACTTATATTCTGCCTCCTACAGAATATGCCGCAAGTGTTACGTCCTGGCAAAATTATCATTCTATAAGGTAGTAGTATTCTATAGATTATTATAAGTTTAATTGTTTTTGTGAAACTTAAATCAATGATTATTTTTTTATTTCCAGCCATGATATAATCCATAGGTGGACTTATCCATTGGTTCCCGATATGTTTCTTGACCAATACTACTCATACAGACGGAATAATATTTATGTACAGGATAATGTCACATTAGCACAGTAAGTTTTTAGATAATTTATAGTTAAAAATTTGTTTCTTGTTCCTCTAAAAACTATTATTCTTGCATCTCTCCTACATGGTGGCTGCGGCTAGATAAGATTTATCACACTGTAGGTATGAGTTTTGAAAATGCACTAGTATGTTCACAAATATAAGTTTCCTTATTTAGGCTGTCGCTTTCAATTTCCACTTGCTACTAAATTTCTTCAAAAGAGTTAATCAAATTCCCAGTAAGCCCTCACTAGTTGTTACTGGGCCTTATCAAGATCAATCACTTCCACCTCCTTTTGAACACTATCAGGCACTTTTAGTTTCACTTACCTATATATGTAATATATAGTAAGGGAAAGTATTGCGATAGTGAAAATTTTTAAATCTGAGTTTTCAACAGAAATACACATTTTAAGATACCCTACAATGGGTCCAAATAACCTAGTCCCACCAAATGGTCTGTGTGGTACTACTTCACATGAGATCCGCACGGATTACGTGTGGTTTACAATCACTTCGGTCACACTTGTTCATGGAATGCGGAATGCATTCGGGTTTATCTGAAAGAGAACGAAGGCGACCGATCTCTTGAGTCAGTTATTATTAACTTTCTCGTACTTCTATAACCTTAACCATGTTCAGTTATACAACAGAAGCCGATTTATATTCGAAATTTAGGCTACATCATGTAACCTTATTCCAGCTGTGAAAAATAAATAGTTACAGATTAAACCTGTAATTATTATATCTCTTAATGCTATTCCATGATATTATTTTTCTTATTGATGATTTTCATTATTCATTATCTCAATTAACTGGCAGATCTACGAGTCCCGTTGGGATTGGACATTATTGGAATAAATATTTATTTATATAACGATTAATAGATACATTTTATTTATTGTTATTGTCCACTATTCTCGCGCAATCTTTAATCTGAGATTATTTTCGTAATAAGCATCCTTGACAACTTAGTAGTGGACTCATATCTAAAAAATCCAAAAAGCTACAAAAACTCGAATGAACAATTTCAAATCTGAGAGTATATTCATAAAATGCTCTGATGGCCAGAAAATAGTGGATCCATATATCTAAGAATTCAAAAAAGTTACATAAACTTGATGCTCAATCTCAAATCAGACAGTATTTCCATAAAAAGGGCCCCCAACTAGAAAATAATGGACTCTCATATTATTAGAAATCCAAAAAGTTACATAATCTAGAGAGACAATTACACAATTTTAAAAATAGCTTGCTAAAATAAATTTTAAATTCAATTATTCCAACTTCTATTGAAAAACTCAAATAACAAATAAAAATATAATAAATAACTTCAGATTATTTATTGTCCAAATGATAAAAAAATCTACACAGTTATAAAAAATAATATACAACAGTATCCACGTATTTACAGCCACTACACATAAGCATGTGTCCATAAAAATTTTATTTCTAAAAACTTTTTTTTTTTTAATAAGCCTTGAAGGACAACTCAAACATCATTTTATATATTTTTTTTCTTTCATAGTAATATTCATTATAATAAAAATTAATAATTAACAAATTAGTAAATACACAATTTGTTAATAAATTGATAATAAGGAAGTTCCATGAAGGGAATACGGTTTTTTTTTTCTTCGAAAATGCATGAAAAGGGATTGTGTGATGGGAGTAATTGCTGACTTCATAAAAGACGACAACATTTGACTGTTTTCGGGATTCCATGAACAAGTGTGATCGAAGTAATTGTGAACCACGCGTAGTCCGTGCGGTGAACTAGTACCGTCTGTGTGTATGTGAAGAGTCTATTTCAAGAACAAAAGTCGTATGAAACTGATATGTATTTAAGATAAGTATATGCGTTAGATGTCATAGCAACTTTTTCCTTAAAATCGGCTAACCGGAAGTGCCACTTTATATCAACGGTGAAACATTTTCACAATTTTCTCAAAACTGGCTCTAACGATTTTGATTAAACTCGGTGTATCATTGTACAATTAGGTGGTCATTTATATCAATTAAGTCTTATCCCCATTGATGTCACTTTACAGAGCTTAAATGCTCAATCTTCATATACTTCTTTCTCTAAAGTACCTTTAATATGGTTCATTTTAAATAATTAACTATCTCACATTATTAGGAGTTACAAAAAAATGCTGAATATAACTTTTGAAAGAATTTGATAATTGAATAAAGGGAAAAAAATAAAAATGCTTATCCAGGTCGAAAATGAATCTCCAGAAATAATAGTTAGAAGGTATACGTATAATATATCGTTAGAAAGCGAAGAATTTTAGAAAAAAAAATATCTAATACAGAAAGTTGAAGAAATAGAGAGTGACGAAAAAAATATAAATAATAATTTTTGAAAACTAACATTATTTAATGTAAATTACATGTTTCCAAAGAAATTAAATGAAATTTTCTTATTAAATGAAAACTTTAGAATTTTTTCTAAGTTCGCAAAAATAAGTTTTTAAAATTAACCGAATCGAATTGAACCATCGAACTGCCATTGTTTAAAATACCATTTCGTTGTACCTGTGGGAAAGAAGAAGTGAAATATGAAAATATTTCATGGATATGTTTATAACCTTAAATACATTTAATGTAGTTTAATAACTGAAGATATATTATATTTAAATAATTAGGTACCTATTAGTTGTTTATTACAAAAAATCATCAAGTGACCTTTTAGAAAATTAAACTAGTATGACAATGAAAATGTATTAGTAAACTTTACTATGGAAATAACTGTTAAATAACTAATAGCCCTACAATCGATAATCATTTATAGGTTAAATATTCAGATATGCTTTCAAATCTCTCTAGGCATATATGAGCCTTTCAGTTGACAGAATGACTAACTCCAATTTTAACATTCTTTATTATTAATTTTAATGATTTTTCTAGTGGCAAAATGTTTACCATTATTTACAGTTCTATATTTCAATCATCTACTCTGGAATCAACTTATTTACTGTCTGTTTAGATACAACTTTTCCAACTAGAAATATCACTAAAATGACATTACTCAATAATGTTGAAATTGAAGTTGGTTATCTGTATGCTTTAAGCTTTAGCTCCGTTTAAAATGCACTTCAAAAATTGTATAATCGCCCAACATTGCCAGGAAATAATTTCTATTCAAAATAGAGCGGTAAGTGAAAGTTGTGTGTTGCGCACTCCAGATTTTTTTTTATTGCATCTATGGTGTGATTGATGAGATATTAACCTGGCCTTCGAGTTAGAGTGACATTCGTGAATCAGTACCTAATTTATCAATTGAATATTGTTAGTTTTATTAATTTAATGATGCTTCACAAAATAAAATTCTTAAATATTACTTAATATGTTTTTGGATTATAAATGAAGACTGGACATCAATCAGGGACTAAGTATCAAACCAAAAACCATGTAGTTATATCTGCAAGCTTAATATGTTTACAAGCTACTTATAAAGCAGATTAAATGTCAAAGCATTATTATTGATTGTGATTTTTAGGTCGTTGGCAAAAAAAATTTCACTTGCTTTTCTGATTTAACTCAATACTTTATTGTTTTACACTTAGCATTTTATTGATTTCTAATCTTTAATTGATAATATGTGTAAACTATTTCAGGTTCGTTATTTAATGCTTCTTAGTTACAGAGTATGATTTGTTCTTTTGAATATTATTTGTGGATGTAATCTTTTCCTCCTGTTTAAAATGTTTAACTGAAATAAGATTTATTTTAAACTATTTATTTTATTAACAAATGAAATTCTGAAAAAAAAACATTTTTAACAACAAGTTTATTTGTAATTAAACACTGACCAGTTGATTAATATGTAAAGAATCCTTAACTTAAGCTCAATCTTAAAGAAGCTTCCTCCCCAAAGCAGAATATTTTTGATATTCTGACGATGGCTTATAAATAAAAAAGAAAAAGAAAAAAATAAATAAAAGAAAAACCTTTCTGTGATATTGTAATATCAAAATATTGGCTATATCAAAACCTGGAAACAAAAATACAACCTTGAAAAATTTCAACTCAACATTAAAATACTGGAAACATTATGAAATTTTAGATATAATTTGGTATTTGGTAACCCTAGAAGGAGCTTTAATTATTTCAGATGATAACTCATTCTTTTATTTTGGTCTAGGGATTATATACCACATTTAATGATCCAATAAATCATTTTTGGTAACCCCTATTGTACAATATGTTCTGAAGTGGAGGAATGAGTTAATCCTTTGTTAGAAAATAATCAATTTATTTTGAAAAATTGAATAAAATCAAATGAACATTCCAATTTTTCTATCATGAGACCTTTATACAGTAGATGCTAGAAAATCTTAGTGGAAGTAATATTTGTTTGCCTGGTACTGATGGAAAATCTTTCTGCCAACCTCATTTTGCTTTAATACTATGTCCTACTGTTGCTTGTCATTCTTAGCTGCCCAAGTTCTGTGTTTTATTATCGTGGTCTCCAGTTTAAGACGTTTTGTATTATAAGATCCTCCTTATATTTCACTTCTCCCTAGGTTTGCACTTCTTATACTGGGCAGCAAAATATAGAATGGTCAAATGACTAACGACTTAGGCATAGGAATAAAAAAAAATTCTCTCTGGGTGAACTTCATTGTCCATCTGTCTTCCTGGTACTTGTCCTTTTCTTCTTTCTCATGTACCTAGATTATAGTGGACTAGCCACATCAGCACTTTCCGTCTATAAATAAAATATTTGAAGCATGGGACTGACTTATCCTTACTTATGTAACCCATTTTCAGTGAGAACCAAGATGTCCATGGCTATCATCAATGTTTCACTTTATGCCTCGAATACAATGTAATCATAATCTCATGCGCTACAGTTTCTGCAACATCTATGCCAAGTGGGGAATAGTAAAATTCAATAGTTGGAAAGGTCCACTTTGCCTCTAGCCTGCATTTTATTATGGGAAAGTATCTTTATCTCAATCTACTAGCACTGTCTATTTTGGGCTACTAGTTTTCTGTTTACAGTTACCATGTGCTTGATGGTCTCTTGGTATCATTGTTGTTTTGGGTCTTAAGACTTGTCAATGGATGTCCTATTTTGGTAAACATTATTGGTTTGTAAAGGTGTTCTATTGGATTGTTTGGAACATGTCCTGCCTCTCTTCACTTTTTCTTGTTCTGTGCATGAAATATAGACTGACCAGTAATCATCAATAAGCAGTTCTTTATTAGTCTTGCTCATCTATTCATTGGTTAGAAGTACTTCTTTAAAATATTTAATTCTTATTTCTAAGGTGCTGATGTTAGATTCCAGGTCTCAGAGCCTTTATTATATGGCCCATTTACTGTAGTATATGTATCTTACAAATTTCTTTTTTGCCTATATTATCACTTTTATTGTTCGGAGCCGTGTTGGTCGAGCGAGTTAAGTCGTCTGCAAAAATTTTAAGCTATGAGTTTAAATCCTGTTCGTGGGATTTAAAAAGAAGAAAAAATAAATAAATAATTAAAAATAATTAATAATAAATTAAAATAAAAATAAATAAGTGGAGTCCCTACTCGATTGCTTAGACCACTACGGCCCGGGTACGATTCCCCATGGAGACGGTAACATCCCCACCCTGAGATTCATAGGAAGGTGAGCGACTCCTGTGTCTTCCAACAACATAGCTCCTGATCCTCCAGATTGGGGGTTGGGCACAGGGCCATTAATTAACCCTATCCCGTAAAAAACAACAGGATGGAGAAGTCTGCAAAAGGGTTGCCAACCATCCTCATGAAGAGGGAGTGATTAGTGATCACGTCTAGTTATTATAAATCACATACTGCCTGGATATCTATACGAGTATATAAGAACCAAACGATCACAGCTGCCGCCTGGAATAGCCCCATAGCTGCTAGAGGACTAATGGCAGAAGTCAATAAGTCGAAGAGGCATTAGAGAAAAAAGTACTTTTATTGTTCACTTTGATTATATGAAAAATTTTCTTCATGTACAAATGCATGATTTATCTACGTTTATTGTCTGCTTTATTTATAGAAGTATCAATGATAATGTAAAGATGTGCAAGCAATTTTATTTTGCTAATGTATTCTATGTTATAAAACATTTATACATGAAAAAGTCAATATGTAGTGTGTTTGTCTTGTTTTAAGGGGCTGTTCTCTAGTTGAAGATGTTGTGATAGGTGGAGAGAGTGATGTTGGCGAAAATACTGTTATTCAGTCTTCTATTATTGGAAAAAATTGTAAAATATCTGAAAAATCATCAATTATAAATTCCCACATATTGAACCGAGTTACTATTGAGGTAATTTTTATAAATTTTTCTATATTTTTTTTTGTAATGCCTTTTAAAATAATATATTTTATTTTGATTGCAGAAAGGATGCAAAATAGATTACTGTGTTATTGGTGAAGGGTGTATCATTAGAAATGGCGCACAATTGACCTCTTGTATTATCGGGCCTGGTGTTGTGATTGGTCGAGACAAAGTTGTTGAAAATATGAGACTCCAGTCTGAGAGACCTTTAGGAGGTGAGTAACTTAAGTTATACATTTATAATTAATATGTTTAATAACTGCATTTCTCTGCAGTAGATTACTCAATAACCAGTCAACAACCTTTTGAAATCTTGGACAGCACTACATCTTCTAAATGGGTTTTGTAAGTCTTCTGTTACTGTTTTAATCTTATTCCTTTGATGGCCTTATGAGAGACCACATGCTACTGGCTGGTAACAAAGTTCGTGTGACCCTGCACTAAATCTGGAAGCCAACTAATGAGGCTTACATCCATTTAGTGTTCAAAGAGGCTTAATATTTGCTTATAATTATTTGTTTCTATGTACAGAGGTTCTGTTTTATATTTTTAATACAAAATTTAAGAAATATACATTCGGAGATGTCCTATTCCCTTCAAAAGTAATATATTTATGGAACACCTTTTTATGTCTGCTTTGGATATTCCTAAATTAGCTAGGGGCTCCTAAGAACCTTTAGAACATAACAGATCTCTATTGAAAAAGAAATCACTGTTGGTTGTCTAATTTTAACCCGGGATTCTCTATTTTTAGTTTTTAAATATCCATTGTTGACTTATCTGTGGCCCCAGAATCATTTATTTTTTGCTAACTTATACAAGATCCAGGAGCAAATCCCTTGTCTCTTATCATCCTCTTATTCCTCTGAAAGTCTGGTGATTGATCCCTCTGCTAGTAGTTGTTATCATATCTTCGGCAAAATCTAAAGACTTTTGCATGCCTTTCTGTTGAGTTGTGTCAAGCATGGTTTGAAAACTAATCGGACAATGTGAATAAGTTCTCAACCTACACATCCACATTAGCCTTGTCCTGTTGCCTATACCAAGGTAGTCTCTCAAGGTTAATCCATTAGCTTTCCTTGCACATCACTCCTTATCCACCCAGCTGATAATAAATTATGTTTATATTTATACTCACCTGCTGATTGTTGATAATTCTAATTAACAGGTGCAAATTGAAAAATAAGAGTGAGATAACAATATTAGAATTTATTAAATTTTCTAAAGGGAGTGATGTAACTCAGTGAGTAAGACACTGGGATCCTATAATACCTAGCCATAGGTTCGAGACTACTTGTGGTATAATAATAATTTATTTATTATGTTACACCAGCCATGGATTATCCATGGTGTCAGGAGATCCTTCTGTGGTACAATCTGTTCCTGTAGAATGAATGCTGACCACATCATCTTGTGTAACAGGTGATCAAGAATCAGCAATCCCTTACAAAGTAGTGAACCTAATGTAAAACCTTATATGGATTGTGACGGTAGATTTATTATGTTTTCTTAAGATTTAATATCATTTACATTCTTCACCAATATTCATATATGTGTCTTCTATTGTTAATGGATGGCTTAAAGTCTAAGTCCATCCCTTATAAAAAGTATCAGTTTCGGTAATCTGACTTCTTGATCACTTCAGTTACTATTTTGATTACTTTGTTTTTCCAAAATATTTTCCATGAAAAAAATTCCAAAATATATTATTTAAAAAAAATTAAAGTAATAACATATTGATGTCATCATGATATTTTAGAATGAAGTTAAATGTAAATCTTTTGTTTATTGTAGAAGATGAAAAGGAAAATTATGGTCCTAAAGCTTTCGTTTACCAGAGTGAAGAAACAGAAGCAGGATCGGATTCGGACTCAGACATTTATCCTATTGCTAAGAAATACTATGGATTAAAATTAGAAGCTAGAGCTGATGATAGTGACACTTGTTCAGAAAGTGAAGGACACATTTCTGATAAGGAATCCCTTCTTCAAGAAGATACAAATGGTAAAATTTTAATTTTTTCTTTTTTAATAATAATAATACTTTATTTATTCTGGGATAAGTCCTTATTTGGTAATTGTACGACGGATAGTTTATATTAATGACTAATACTATTTATTTAAATTTATATTAAACATTTATCATTGCAGTATAAATATATGTATGCACATGCGTTTATATAGATAATCGCAGACATTCTTGAAACCCTCATAATCATGTTCAAGGGGTACTGTAACAGATATAAAATACATGCTCCGATGACCTTCTGTTCTATGCCCTTCGATATTGTGCAAAAGTCTGTTATTTTTGTTAAAAATTATCTCTACTTCATTGAAAGGTATATACGCATTTAAAAAAAATTATTTTTACCAATATTAGGGAAGATACAGCAAACAGTTTTTGTATTGAACTTCGCACCCAATACAGCAAGGAAAGCTGTGTGGGTTGACGTACCAGTTGTATGAAATTTAGTTAATGTGTTTTAATTACTGACTCTTTTTTTTTTTTTTATAATATCCATCATCAAAGTTGATCGTTTTGAATATTCATTAGATTTTTAAAATTAATAATGCTTTATAATACAAAATTTTGACAGTGAAAAAAAACAGGATTTTTATGGCATAGGAATCCATCTACTGGATTAGATATTTTAATTGCTTTTCCTTAAAAGTAAAAGAGAGCATGAAAATTTGAGCAGTTATTATGCCTTAATCTGATATTTGAAAGCATTTTTTTTTTTTAAGTTTCTGTTAATTTCTGATAATACTGTGCTGTGATAACTAATCTTTTTTATCAAAAAACAAGATTTTCTCCATACTAGAATTTAAATGTTGTTTATCTACTGATAGGTTAATAATAAATGGATGTATAGAGGGACATTCAGAGAAGAGAGGAGTGTGGGTTATAAATTTCATTTTGAGGAGGTGGACCTAAAGAGGCATTTTTAGGTTCAGTTGGACTTGGGTTCATTATTTTGTAAGGATGTACTGTTTCAAGGCCAATGGTGATGCAGGTAGGTGATCAGGCTAGGGTCACGCTCAACTGCCACTCTTTTCCTCTTAATTAATTATTTTAATTGAGAGTACCTGCTATAGAGGCTGGGTATGCCTCAGTGCTTACCCACTGAGCTACCCTGCTCCCTAAAGTCTGAAACAAACCTAAATTTTGCAAAATCTTTGCAAGATTTAAAAATAATTATAATTTAAAAAAAATAATTGTCAAAAGAAAGGTAATTTTAGTCATTGAAGAAAATCAAAGGTTTCAAAATTGCAGCATGGCTAAAGTAAAGAATCAAGATGGCAATGTTTATGTTTTATAGATATCGAGGCAGATATCCTCTGAAACATATTAGAACATATTAAATTTCAAAGCCCTATAAATCTACCATTTTTGAGATAATGCAGTGCCCAGATAAATTCTAGAGACCATCCTTAATGCTATGTGATATGGACCTCATATCATTAAGGATTTTAAAAATTAAAAATATCCATATTTATTGTAACTTATGATGTTGAATTAAAATTCTATCAAAAAAACAAACTAATGAGAATATACCTGAGATCCCTTTGGCATATCAGAAAGTATACATAGAAAGAATTTTTTTGATATTTTTAATAAAAATAAAAATGTTCTATTATTTATTATAATTTTCTTGGTTATTAATAATATCTATAGCGGTGATGAGGTTCTTATCCAACACTGCCTTCTATATTCCACTTATAAGTGTTGCAAACTAAGGATCTTGACTTTTCTTTACCTAACCAATAACTATCGGCGATACTATGCTGGAATTAGTATAAGTTTATGGATACTGAGTTTTATTGCTTAACTATTCAACTAAAGGAATATCTTCCATGAATAAAGCACCAATTATGTGCATTTGAGGCCCTAATGGCTGAGCGTGTTGCCCATTTTAACGTTCTCAAGTCTAACAGCACTGGTTTGAATTCAGCCTATGAGGTTTAAAATTTATTTCATGGTGCATCTATGGAATAAATCTCTCATCTTCCTACTCTGGTTAGAATAAGATTGGTTGTACCTCCAAGGAAGTTTACTGTATTGACAATTAGTTCCTTTCGCTATAAATATCTAATGCTAGACCCTTTTAAACATTGAAATAATTTTTAGCTTGTTTTTTTATCATTGTACATAATCCAAAAACTACTAACTTGTAACTACTATATATGTACAAGAACTTTTTTGATCTATCAAGTATATTTAGTTTTTATTCAAATAGTTGGAGGCATGAAGATCAGAAATCAACTAGCATACAAGATTATAGCTTCTTTGTCTCAACATCTGTTTTCCTGGGAAAAAAATTTATTTTTATTTTATTCTTTAATTTATTTATGTTTTATTTTTATTTTGTATATTTATTTTGATTCCATCTGTAATTTATATGATTTATTATCTGTTAGATAGTATCTTAAACTAAATATTTTACAGTATTGTTTTAAATTTTCTTATATTTGATTTTTGTTTAATTTTATTCCTTTCTTATTTATTTAGTTGCTTGGAAACACAAATATTTATTTATGTACATTAATTAATATAATTTCAGCTCTTTCTCTCATTGTATATTTTTTATTTACGCTTTGTTATATATTCACTACATTTTATAATTAATTAGATCTTCAGGTTTAATTTTATATTACTACCTGTAAATATCAATGAAATAATGCTAATTATTTGTTCAATATCTATTTTAAAAGTGGTGGAGTTTGTTTTGTTTTTTATTGAATAATACCAGTCATATTTATAAAACCAAATTTGACCACTCATAGGTTACTTAATTGAGGCTATGGCCAGTTCCCTAGCATTCTCGAATAAATTTAACATTTCCTTGTATATTAAAGATGGATGATAAAAATAATGCAAAATTAATAATTTCACTTCTCAATGTAGCAATAATTAACAATAGAGAACTTTTTAAATAATAAAATATATGACATATACTGATGATCAATTTCAATTATTGACTTAATCTTAAATAGATTTGTAATTTCATGAAAGGTCAGAGCTGATGTTAGCATGTTTGGCCAAAACGTTGTGTTCAATAAAATTGATAGTAAAGATCACTGTAGCCTTATTTATTTATTAATTAAATAATGCTTCACCTTAAACACTCTTATTACAATTAGGAAATTAAGTATTATTTTCTCTCTATTTTATTTTCCTTCTAAATTATTTTTCACTGTCAAAATGTGTTAAAAATGTTGCCAGAAAACTCATATTTCAGTTATTTAAAATTTTATGTATATCTAATACATATACTTATGTTAATTATATGATATACTTTTACTAACATATAACAAATTTATTATCTCCAATGCAGTTTACAATGCCTGATGTCCTGCAATCCTAAACAATCTCAAGAAATGTTAGATCTCCAAAAAATGTTTTTAGAATGTTTATTATTATGTTTATATGAGTGTAGTTTTTATATACAGAATGTCTCAGTTCTTAATGCCACAGAAAAGGAGTCAAGACCAATTTTGTGTTTTTCTTAAGGTGCTCATGTTTTTTATTGAATGAGAAGGAATCGCTCAAAAACTGTTTGAGATAATTAAATTTTAATTACACAATCATAAAGTAGACAATTTTTAGTTTGAGAAAACAGTGATTAAATTTTCTAAGGCTAATAATAAAAGAGACTTTGAGGTGGTCTAATACGGCCGCTGTACTGAGATATGCTGCACTTGTGTAGGTACTATAACTGCAGCATAACAGGAGCCCTATTAGACCTCCTGAAAGTTCCTATTATCATTGACCTTAGTAAATTTAAAATCCTTTTTATCACTCGCCTTCGTAAATTTAATCAAAATTTTCTCAAAAAAAATTGTCTACTTTACGGTTGTGTACTTAAAATTTTGAACAGTTTTTGAGTAATTCCTTCTTATTCAATAAAAACTTGGTACTTCTTCACTAGCAGGCCGGGACTGACTGCTATCTGCCAATGTTTATAACCTGAACACTGATAATTCCGATAAGGCAGTGATAAGCCTTCTCGTAATTCCTATATTCGTATTATTGTATTATATTCGTATTACTAAAAGTGTAAACAGAAACAAAAACAAATGTAATAACAAAAAAAAATACTTTCATTTTACCACACATATATTAATGAAATAATAAAAAAACACTTAAAGAAGATATGTACATATAAAAGAAAATATACCAACACTATAAATGACATATGTACAATTTATTTTCACTTCGTCTTATTTATTTTGGTACACAAAATAGTTTATGCTATTTAAAATAGCGAGGAACGGATCCTCTTCTTTGAGAACCCGCTGCCACAAAAATTCGCATAAATATGAATCGAGGTGTTGTCTTGCAGTTGCTCTATGTATTTTATTTCTCCACTTAGCTGAGCCCCATAATCATATGATATATAAAAGATCAAAATAAAATAATAAAAAAACACTTAAAGAACATTGACCAAAATAAACTAAAAAAAAATGAAAAATAAACACAAACGGGCCAAAAATAAAGAATTTAATAAGGAAATAACTGAAAAATAACAGTGTAATAACTGAAAGGTTTGGTGGGATAAGAAGAGGGAGGTTATGTGACGTGAAGTTAGATAACATAGATAAGAAGTGAGGTTTCGACCCGCCCTGCTAGTGAAGTAGTACCAAAAACTGTGATTGTCTTAAGAAAAACACCAAATTGGTCTTAACACCTTTCCCGTCCCTAATCATCCCATACATACGATACAAATGAACTTTTTTGTTGGAAATTTTGTCTAGAATCTCTCCCCAGAATTTGGCCATTAAGAACTGAGACATCCTATATGAGTGTTTTATATATATATATATATATATTTTTTTTTTTTTTCTGAAAGAAAACTTGTTACAATTCAGATTAACTTTTATTGTATTGGCTAAAAATTGACTTTAAAAATCCTTGAGGACCAGCACTACCATCCTTACCATGGAACATTTTAATAAATGCAGATTTACTGAAAAATTCAATGTTATTATATGCCAATGGTGATGACATGATTACATTACGGCCTAATCTGTACTTTCCTAAAGAAAGGCTCCATATATGAGTGTAGTAGTTACAGAGGCATAGCACTCCTTCCGGTCGCCTACAAGATAATGACCAATATCCTATTAAACCGGATATATCCGTATTACGAGAATATAATAGGCGACCACCAAGCTGGATTCAGAAAAGGGAGGAGCACGCTAGACTAGATCTTCATTCTAAAACAAGTACCCAAACAACAATTGGAAGTAGCTCAGGATGTCCACTCCCTATTTGTCTATTTCAATGCCGCCTATGATTCTGTGGATAGGAGCCGTCTTTATAAAATCATGACGTCTGGGAATTCCTGGTAAGTTGGTGAGATTGACAAAGGTGTGACAAATGACCCCAAATGTCGTCCTCATACAAGGAAAAGTATCTGAAGCCTTCAAAGTTCGAACGGGCTTACAGAAGGAAGATGGACTATCAGTGATGTTGTTCAACTCAGCTCTAGAGAAGGTAATAAGAGCAAAGTAACAGGAACATAGAGGTGTCCACTTTGGAATGAATCATGAAATCCTTGGATACGCAGATGATATAGCTGTCCTTGGAAGTAATCAAGAAGACATTGAGAAACTCGCTACAACACTGATAAGAGAGGCAAAGTAGGTTGGCCTACAAGTAAATGAAGACAAAACAAAATATATGATATTAAGCTAAAAATTCCACCCCAATAACAGGATCTGGATATAAGGAAAATCATTCACGAGAGTAGAAAAATTCAAATACCTCGGCTCCACAATAACCTCAATGAATGACCAACTTGCAGAAATAGGCCAGTGTATAACTAGCGCAAACAGAGCTTTCTTCTCAATCCTATAATAAAACCAGTTCTAATATATGGCTGTGAGACCTGGACACTGACCAGCACCTTAGAAAAAAGTGTTGAAAAGATTTGAGAGGAAAATCCTTCTCAGGATAACCGGAGCGATCTGGGATCAGAGTACTAACACATGGAGAAGAAAGACCAATAAAGAACTGCTTACAGAAACTGGCATGTATGTAGCTCATGGCAATCTATCAGCCTCTACGTAACCACGAATACCTCAATATGAAGGCAAAAGACCACGTGGAAGATAGAATCAACAAAGATGCAACAGAGCATTTTTGTTGATTTCTTTCCATTTATCTGCATGCAGATAAACAGAAAGAAATAGCCCAAGACAGGCAGAGATGGAGAAGGCTTGTGAAGGGGGCAAAAGACCTACATGGTCTGTAATGCCAACAGGAAAAAAATAAATAAAATAATGTTAATGGTTTGTTATTACTTGTAAAATGATGAGATTTTGTTAAATTACAGACAAATGCAAACATAAGGTTGAGGCTTAAGCATTGCTACAGATTTAATTTTAATCAAGAAAATACTAAATACATAATTTTTAGCCAAAAAAAAAAAGGATATTGCCAGAATTAGAAACACTACTCAGTAAAGGAAGACAAGCTCAATATAACCCATTACCATAATTAGGTCTACTATTTGACTCAATATGAATTGGATCAGACATTTAAGTAATCTTAATAATGTACCTTATGGTTTATAAATGAACAATCAATAGCTGCTAGGGCAACATGATGTCGCATGTTGAAAATATTTAAAGAAATATATGATGCCGCTGTTCATCCTAAAATACTCCATGCTGTTCATAGAGTTCATCTAGTTGTACATTTAAAACAAAAATTGATCAAGTTTCAGAGGCTTCAAAAGTTAATTGCAGTTAACATATCTAAAGGCTATCATGTGCTTTCATTTGAGGCTGCTATGCTACTCATCTGCCAAATCATATATAGGTATATCATAGCTATTATCTATCCAAATGAAAATTTAAAAATGTACTACCTTGTTCAATCATAGAAAAGATAAAATGGGATACAAAAACTTGGCATTGGACAAAAGATTGCTGATTGAAAATTTTGTCTACATCCCACTGTCAATTTGTGGTCTAGACATAGTATAACCCATGAAAACACTGATGTTTTTTTGATGGCAGTAAATACAGTGGAAACATTAGCTGTTCATGATTAATCATAGCTCAAATTAGCATCTTATAGCTCTATTAACCAGGCAAACAAATTTGATGTGCAGAAAGAGACGGAGTACATTTATAAATACCTACTAAAGAAATTTGTGTAAATACTCTACACAATCTTTCTTGAATCTTTGTAATTTCACATTGCGGACCAAATTATATATAACTTAACTCTTAAAAGTGTATGGAAAATAATCTTAAAATGGTTGAAGATCCATTCTAGAGTTATGGGTAATAAACGAGGCAATTGCCTTGCTCAAGAAGTGGCTACCAGCAGTATGTTCGCTTTCTCCTCTATATGAGGGATCTAGTGTTTAATTTTGTCAAAAGATGAGATCACATGTGGATGACCTCTGCCAAAAATTAAATATTACTACAGTTTTACATATTACAGATATGTTTCAATAGTTATAAAATATGAATAAAGAATTGAAAGAAAAAGTAAAAGATATCTATTTTTCAATTTCGAACTCAGATTTTATAAAGTTTGTTATGTGTTTATAGAAGTATTTCATAGCTTTTGAAGCCTTGGTATATTGTATTTTATTTTATTCTTTTTCTTTTATTAATATTATTCTAAAAAATTACTATTCATTTATTCCAACTAGGAATAATTAGGAAGGAAATTTTAATTTTATAAATATTAAAATAAAAAGTCTTTTACTGTTACTCATGACTTTGCTTCTTATTTATGTTTTTTTTTAATTTAATAATTAATATTTCTTTTTAGTTTTCTTCAGTGAAGTGGTCGATTCCCTTCTTCGTGGATATGAAGACAAACTACCTTGTGATAATCTAGTTTTGGAAGTAAATTCATCAAGATATGCGTATAATGTTACTTTGAATGAAGTAAACTATTATGTTGTCCGCGCAATTCTAACTCTGCAAGATGAATTCAAATGGGATGGGATTGCAGCTAAATTAAAATATTTTATGCCACTACTTGTAAATTATATACGCAATGAAGAGGCAATGCTGGATAGTTTAAATGCCATAGAGGTTAATGATTATACTTTTTATAATTGCTGTTTTTGTTATTGTATTGTATTTTTTTTTATATTTACTCTTAATTTGCCTAAACTAATTTGTTGAAAAAGATTAAATACTTGATAGATAAAAAAAAAAATTATATGTTCAATATATACTTAGTATTTATATATTGAATATATGAGTGACTTCATATCAAAGAGTTTTATTTGCTATTGAATGTTCTTTTATTTATTACAATTTATCCTCTCATCATTTGCCTTTTTATGAAGTTGTTAAAAAATACATTTTACTCTAGTGTGTTATGAACAAATTAAAAAACTGAAAATAATGTAATTATGTTATTTCAGATAAAGTTGATATGTATCAGATCTGTTAAATTTACAAGATTTTATGGTTATTAATTTTAGGATGTAGCTGAAGTTCACAGTGATTTTGAAGCTGTTAGCTTAAAGTTAATCCATTTATTATACAATAAAGATATTCTTAGTGAAGATGCCATCTTGAAGTGGTACAATGAACCTAGGATGGAAAATGAAGAAAGTAAACGACTCCGGAAAGTGGTTAGTGAAAATAGTATTATAACTATAAAAATGTCTTACTTTTCATTTCTATTCACTAAATTGTTTGTTCTAGGTTGAGCCATTTATTAAATGGTTAAAAGAAGCAGACGATGAAGAATCAGAATCAGAGTAAAAATATATCTGATTTTTGTTATTTTTTAAAAAATAAACACAAAAGACAACCATGTATTTTATTTTACAACCTTTGACCTAAATTTTCTTATATTTGCTGTCTTATGATCAAGGCCTAGATTTTTATGCAGTAAAAATACACAGAATATACCATATATTATGCAGAAAAACCCCTGAAATATGCATTATAAAAAACATGAAATATCTCAATAATTCATAATTAATAACTTATGGAATAAATAACATAAAATAAATATCTGATTTGTAGGTATGTTCTGCATTAAAATTAATCAGCAGATGTGTTTCTAAATTTTCTTCTGTGAAACATAACCTTTTATCATTTAAAGTAATACTTCAACAGTTAATTTTTAATATTTTCTTCATAAGACATGATTAGATTTTACCATTGAGGGAGGGGGAGGGGGAAGGTAGCTTCAGTCTGAAAGCCTGTACTTGGTGCCACTGGTTTTCCATCAGCTGTAAGAACTACTTCATCTTTGTTCTTGAAAGGTTCAATCCAAGATTTCAACTTTAATGAAAATGAAAAACATATTTTTAGCATTTTAAATAAACAGAACAAATGATATCTCGCAAAGAACGTAGGCAACAAACTAAATAGAAATTTAATATGATGTTTAAATGGGACATGAAGAGGAAATGCAATTCCGGGAATTGATGAACATATATAAAGAGAATTATTAAAGGGTATAGCGGAAGGTAGGTGTGAAGTCTACAAATGTGGTAGATTTGTAAAAACCTGCTATTGTAATTTTGAATTGCATTTTAATTTGTATTTATAAATGAATGAATATTCATAACATATATTCAATATATCCATTTATCCTCAAATATGGAATTATATACATCAGAGTGTACTAATTCGTATAGATATTTGATCAGTGGTTAAAAAAATCAAACAAAATATGCAATTGCATAAAAATCCGGATTCTGCTTATGACTCATTGACTGGTTTTTATACCTATAATTAGTGTTATGCATATTGATAATTTATTTCAAGATCGTATTATTTTCATTTCTTAGGCGCTTTTTACCGGGCTTCAATAAAGTGATCTGTAAGTTAATATTGTCATTTAATCATTCTTATCATATTTCTTGAGATCTCATGAACAAAATCTTGAGGAGTTGACTAGATAAGTACTAAAATTTAATGATAAGAAAGTTTAAATCAAATAGCTGATTTTACTTCACTTATCTTTGCGGCCTTGATAGTAATTATTTGAATTATTATTAACATTTATATTCATTACGGTTATTAAAATATTGTAACAGGTTATAAATAGAACAATACATGTGCATTATGGATGTAGAACATTGAATCTTAACCAATGTTTAAATTTCTTTAATCAAATGATGTTTCAGTCATAAATTAATAAATTATTATCAAATCCTTCTTTTGCATAATTTCTTTCCATAGAACAATAAAAATTAAACATTGGGTTATCTCATGTTTTATTCTGATTTTCTTTGCCTTTTACTAGCCTGTAATTTTGTTTTTCTATTATTATTCTCAATGTCTTTGAATTATTATGTTTTCTTCAAGATGGGAGGGTTGTATCCTATTCTAATCTATCCTCAATTGCATTTGTCATCTATATATTGTTCTTTATTTTTTGGAAACCTTAATCACTCTTCTAATCAACTTTTCAATAGAACTATTTAATACCTAAACTGGGTTAGTGTTTTCAAAGAAAAATCACATTCTAATCCCTACTCCCTAAATACTCCTCTATACCTAGCTTTCATATTGTTAATTTCACTTTTATATATCACTTATCCTTAATTTTTTAAAAAGGTCTTCACGCGAACTGTTGAGAATCTAATAATATAAAATATTTACTAACATTATGCGAATTTTTCCATAATATCCATTTTTCCCAACAATTGATAATTTTTTTGATACTATACAGTCGTAAAAGGAAATGAAAAGTGATGGAAACGTATAAATTTAAAGATTCGATCGATGGGAAAATCATGGTAATTAATTGTTTTATAAGATTAACGTTGTTTTCACTTTGACTCGCCTATATATGAATATACCTATATCTACTCTAAGGCTGGTTGTGTGATGCCCACAACACACCAGATTTTTTTTTCAAATATTGACAGTTTATATTCATCTGATATTATCATGAACTTTTACTAGAAATATGAAATCAGCAAAAATTGAGGGATTCTTTCAAATACAATAAAATATTTTTTTCACAATTTAGAGCCCAAATTGCTTCAAAACACAATATTGCAGAATTTGAGCCATCGGACTTAAAAATCAGTCATTATTCGTTCAATAAAAAATTGTTACATACCAATTAACGGATAGATTACCAACATTGTTAGTGTTTTAGGCCCATTTCGTATAAAAAAAACTAACCGGATCTCACGGAATGTGAGCCATCAAATTTAAAAATTGGTCTATAGGTTCATACAAATAATCATTATGTACCAACAAGCGGTCAAATGAAACACATAATCCACACCTTGCGGTTTCGTTGTAATCAGGTAAAAATATCAATAAATTGCTATTCAATTACGCTATATTAAATAATGTAGAAGGTGAAAACAATTCAAACAATTACTGTTTGTTCTTCCTTCAGGACTGAATCAAAGCATAGGCAATGAACTACATTAAATAAACTATTGGATGTTACTATCCCCTCTTCTGTTGACTAAATTTATCTTAAATGATAACGCAACCCATTGTTACATTCCTTTCTAATAAATAGCAACCTCTGGACATGAAATATATATATAAACTAAAAAAATCTTAACTCATGAGAAGGAATCAAGGTTTGAAATAATTACAAAATCAGTTGAGTGAGATAATGATCTATTTTCTCTTCTTTATTAGGATTTGATAAGAAACATGGAATTATTTCCAAAAAAAATAACTGAATTTGAAAGATTGATAATCCCATGTAACATTTTTAATGTTTTTTTTTTTTTAAATTTTTTTTATTATTTTAATTTTAAGCGTAACAGTGTTTGACGGTACATACAAAAATTCTACATTTAAAATCACTAACAGTTAACTGTCACTTAGCAGTCAACTTTATAACTATCACTTTTTTTTTCTTCTTTACAACTGCACTAGGAATGGATTTTAATTTTATTTACAAGCACAACTTCACTGAAACGAAGCCGTTGCAGCAGTGCACATTCACTCAGAGAAAGGACTAATATTTACACCATATAAAGCTCTTATAAAGAGTACAACTTTAACATAAATTTCCTCTTAATCACAGGAAATATCTATAAATGTATATAATATATATATATTTATAAATAGAGAGTATATATATTTATTTTTTCTAGTTTTTGCTTTTCCAAATAATAAAAAAAAGAAATTTAATTTTTTTCTTACTAGACAATCAACTTATATTTAATAACTTTATGTAAAACAGACAATGCAGAAACCATTAAGGCAATAATGTAACATACACCTCATAACACCAGATTATTTGTCCAGAATATGTATATTAGAGAAGCAAAAAAAAATAAAATATATATTAAAATTACTAAATAAATGGAAACACTACATCGAAACTAACTAAAAAAAAAAATAAATTAAAAAAATTACAATAATTTTTTTAACAGTATAAATTAAGTAGGAATACTGAGTCATATCAAGTTGAAATGGAAATAAACAGAACAAATTTAAGATAAGAGCAATATCTATAATCAATAAAAATGTAGATATGCGTTAAAAATATACATATATTATACTGACAAATTATATTTCATATTTAACATTAATTTATCACATAAAAAAAAATCAATCAACTGGTGTTTTGAGAAAAAACTTATTTAAACACTCGAGGAAGAATTTCCAAAATTAAGAATCGTAGAGCACCTATTCCGTTTATTTACTTAAAAGCATTAAATACCACAGTCAAAGACAAGATGGAATAACATTCTGATTCAATTTTCGCTTCACAAGTTTCATAATAAATAGGCCTATATTGTATCAATTGCACTTATATTTTTCCCCACCATCCTTTCTCTCTATTTTATCAATATATTCATCCATAATTTATAAAGAAAATTAAAGACCAACAGGATCTTAAAAATAATTACAGACCCTGCCACTTATGTATATTATAAACAAAAATATTCACATAAAACTAAATCAATTTATATAGAAATATATTTAAAACATGTAAAGCGAAAATTTACACAATATATATTTATATACATCCATATACATACATACATAGTTTATTATTTTATAAACAATTAAAAAAAGAAATGAAAAGAAAATTAACAGAAAGAACATTCAAAAAATATATCCACATGTCTTTTATATACAGCTTCAAGAATAGAATTACATACAATATTCTAACTATGAATTAATCCTTTGGTAATTTGTTATGCTAGAACATAACATGCACATTAAAATATATAGAACCCAAAGTTTACAGGTTCCAAAAAAGAAGTTTTATCTTTTGCAGTTTGATCTATCCACAGTCGTCCATTCAGGATCGTTAGGGTCTTCTCCGAGAAACGAGTCAGCTGAATCGGTAGATACACTTCCTGGGGACCTAGGTGCAGGAGGATTCTGTAACAATAATTGTATCAATTTAAAATTCATGTCAAAATTTTAAATAACTTATGTATTTGGGAAATAAAAAAATTTCTTATCATTTAATGATATAAGTGTTAGCGAAGTGAACATTTTTGTCAGTATAGTAGTAAATTTATCAAATATATGAATAATGAAATGACATTTACTTATTTGCCATAAAATAAATAATGATAATACAAAATTGTCCATTGTAACATAAAAATCTATTCAATGAAAACTTTCATCTTTGATAGAAATATATGGGTTCTATACTTATATTATGTCTCTTAACAATGGTCTTGCTAGTGCTAGTGCAAGTTAACATCAATGTATTCACACATTTTAAATTAAACGAACTTTACAAGTGTCTATTAATAAATTATTATTAAATTTAGATCATTTAAGAGGGTTATGAGAGTTTTAACTAAGGAAGATCCATGACTTTATTTGGTATTTTGTGAACTAAAGATATGGGAATAGGGAGTTTAATCCTGTTATACAAATAAGGCTTGGAGGGACCTTAGGGGCTACTTTCATTGTTAGTAAGAGTCCATTAGATTTGACTGGAAGGAACCTCCAAGAAATTTCCACCAACCATCCCATCTGCCACATGTGAAAAACGCTCCTGTATGTGGTAATGAGATCTGTGAGTATATAAGAGTTTTCATGTTTGGTTATGCTGATGATTTGGTACTGTACTGTTAAGCGCAGACATGGAGACTATAAAACTAAATACCAAAACGTATAAGAGCCAGTAAAGAACTGAGGGGGGAAGGGAAGGTCAAAATAAATATAGATAAGACAAAACATAGGGTTAGCTGCGAAAATAGTGACAATGTCTGTGATATAGATATAGAAGGGGATATGTTAGAACATGTAGAGAAGTTAAGGTATTTAGGGTTACCGATAACTGGAAAAAAAAACGAAATTGAAGAGGAGATTAAGACTAAGTTGGAGACAGGAAATGCTTGTTATTTTTCTGTAGTAAAACTACTTATTTCGCCCCTCTAGTTCCAAAACTGTTAAGTTAGAATTTACAAAACCATTATCTTATCAGTGGTTTAATTTCAGAGCATTATCTTATAAAATCATTTAGATCTAAAAGCGGCCTAACAAGGGCAGAACACATTAAGCTAACTTTTAGTAAGAACAAGTATAAATACAAACTAAACAGTGTGAAAATTTGTTTTTCATTAGATTCATACATTAAATGAAATTATGAATTAAATACATGTGTTAGAAATTTACAAGATTTAAACATCATTAATTCACATTTAATATATTATAATGAATGGCTATTAGTATTTTATCTCTTGTTGCTCTCACCTCTTCTCCCTCCACTTACTCTTAATATACAACTATTATCATGTAATATAATATATAAATAAAATAAAGATTTTGTCTGTACATTGAATAGAATCAAATCGTTTTATAATATATTTCCATTTCATACATTGCAGACACCAAATCCATATTTAAAAATTTTTTTGTCTGTCTGTATGTCCGCATTGCAACAAAATTTTGTCAGCGGTAAGCTCAGCAATGGCTTATTGTGCACTTTTGAAAATATGACATTACATTGAGGTTTACTTGACTTAAAACATAGGCTTTAAATGAAAACGAAATTTTGAGTAGAAACAAAGTTATGAATTCTTGATTAATTTGTCTAGATATCTCGGTCAATGTTGATAATAAATGTTAATAATAAACATATGTTTTAAGGTTAATGAACATTTATATAAATAAAATAAAGGTTTTGTCTGTACATTGAATATAATCAACGCGGTTCATGATATCTTCCCGTTTTATACATTAGACACCAAATCCACTTTTCCAAAATTTTTGTTTGGATGTCCGTATTGTCCAACAAACTTTTGTCAGGGGTAAGCTCGGCAATAGCTAATGGTAGACTTTTGAAATTTTGATGTTATATTTAGGTTTGCTTGACTTAAAATATCGGCTTTGAATGAAGATAGGACGAATATTGAGTTGAAGATATACTCAATTAAATATTGAGTAGAAGGAAAGTTATTAATCCTTGAGTAATTTGTCTAGAGATCCCGGTTAGGCTGTTACTTACTTCGATTCTCATCACAACCTATTCTACCACGAGCCACATTTAAAAGATGTACTACTCAACAGATCACAACTCAACGGGAAAAATCCGGAATACCCAACATCTGTAACACGCAGCATGAAACGGGTAAAGCAAACTTATTTTTCAACTTGGTCCAATCTTCCTGTTCAAGGTGTCATTCCATTTAACTTCCCGAGCCTCATAAATGTTGTCGTATAAATTTTTAGGATTAACTAAACGAATTAACAGGAAATCGGAAAAAAAAAACTGCCTACCACAATATTCAGATCAAGTTCCAATTTTACACAGATTTAGGTGACTCAATGTTCAATGTTTTTTTGCCAGCGATAACCAGCAATTCAAAAGGACCAGTTGAGTGCACACCTCACCACACATAAGAAAAATTCACTCGACTCCACCAAACTCCTCAGCTCATACAAAATACAACCACACATACTACACCAATACCCATTGACAGTAGGTGTTCTTAGTGAGACAACTAACAGATACCCACCCGCCCAATGCCTCCACCCCCAAATCCATTCCACCATACCACTCAGTATACCCTATGTAACCCACAGAAATTATTACCCTTCACTCATATTATCCATAGAAAACACAATAACCAATATACAACAATATACAACATCATAACATAAGTTCAACACCCACATACCATGAATCGCAACACCTAAGCCTCCTGACTAGCATTTAAGTGCCCTGAACCCCATAAAAACATATACACACTAATCCCACCCAATCAATCCCAATCAGCCCACCAAACAAACACCCAAACACCCCCCTCCCTCAACCTTCGCCCACAATTTCGAAATCATCAAACTCCCTCACTCTCCCACCACCCCCCACCACCCAACACACCCCCCCTCAACATCCCCAATAACCAAACCCCCATACACCTCCATTAACCCACCTCACTACAAACACATCACACAACCTAAACACACACACACAAACACAAACACACACTCCCCCCCAAACAACCTCCATAAATCAACATCTCATACCCCCCCTCCACAACTACCATATAACGTTCACCTTCTTCCTCCAATAAAATAAAAAAACAACCCCACCAAATCCCCCACATCATTGTACAACATATTAGCACCAAAAACCCACACCACACCCCAAACCCATCAAACGATTTACCCACACACATTTGCCCGCCCCAACATATCAAATCACTATGCTAGTATTTTTGTTTCTTATTTTTAACATTTTCCCTGTCGATACCAAGAGAAATAAAATAAACAATTTGATTTAGCAATAATGTTGCTATTAATACAGTTATATAATTGTGTTTTCCATAGTTTGAGAAATGTCTAAAGACACCTTCAGATGTTAATCAATTAATCAGATGGATTTGGCCATGAACTTATCAGGTATATGAAACAGCCATAAATATGTATCCCAATTCGGTGACGATAAAATCAAGGAGTATATAAATTTATAAATCAATAATACACAACAATATAGGAATAAAAATCTTATTTATAAATAATGACAATGAAGTAAAAAAACAAATAAAAGTCTTTAGTATCTCTAAGTAGGTATTATAGTTTTATCTTCTAATGTGATACGTGCTAATATTTCTAATATTTATTTAGTTAATATTAAACATTAACAAGTTACTGCAGTATGTGACTTAGCTGGGAGTTGTAGACATGATGAAATCAAAATGACAAAACATTGATAGCTTAGTTACTTATCAACTGATTCGAGAGAGTTAGGCCCGACACAAGACATGATATCATCAGTGATAATAATCCCTTTGGATAAATTTTTAATAAATAACAGCTCATTGTAAAAACTTAATTTTTTGTGTGATAACAGAAATAAATTTTCTTATTGTTATCACACACACTTATCTCTACAAAATGCTGGATAGCTATTCAAAAAAAGAATATCTGCCCAGTCCCATCTGATTTTCTGTTACTACTGACTGACTACATAGCGTAAGTTTTAAAGTTTAAGAAAAATGAGTTGAAATTTTTATTAATTTGTAGGAAATTTGCATGTTGAAAACAAATTTCTACAATTAATATAAATTTATAATATACTTATACGAATAAATATAATATACCAAAAAGCTAATGAACTCAGAAAAATAAATATTTAACACATAAAGTCATAACAAGTAAAGTAAAGTGGCCAAACAAATTATGAATAATCATTTCTGGAAACTAGTATAATTATTTAACAGAGCTTAATGTTCGGACTTAATTAATTAAAATAATAATTTTCTGGAGAGGGGTAACTCAGTGGTAGGGCACTAAGCTTCCAATGCTGAAAGTCCCAGGTTCAAATCCCGGCTCATGGCAGAAAATTTATTTATTGTTTCATTGGCTGTGGGGCCACCCAGGGGTAGGGAGACACTCCTGGGGCATACCCAGCCTCTTCTAAGTGGGTGCCCTTAATTAAATAATTGATTGAGGGGAAAAACCTAGCGGTTGAGCGTGATCCTGGCCCGATCCCCTCCTTGCACAACTGTTGGCCTTGAAACAGTACTTTCCCTAAATAGTTTTTTTTTTTAAATAAATGTTCGGACTACTTGAAAATGTTTATAATTATTTTTAAGTTTGACAACCAAAAATACATATAATACATTGAATAGTGGTTTTGGAATTTTTAATTTTTTTTTTTATTATACATTTGTGATAAGAAACCTAAAGAAGTGGATGCTGCTGAATTTCTAGAAATGTTTATGGACTGGAAAGACAAATGGTAAAAATAATAAACTTTAATAACTTCAGCCACGATAATAAGAGTTAAAAAATTAAATAGTAATTTATGCCATTTAGTAAGCACAAGGGAATCAATCCACAAAACATGCAAAAATAAGTTAGATGAGATTTTAAATAAGATATGTCTTAGTAACTGCCAACAGAAAAGAACAATT